TTATGTTGTGTAGAAAGTTTGAGCCGATTCCAATCAAGTTTGGATTTTTTGCGAATTTTAAAAGTTGTTCCAAAATTGGGCAAAAGTCCCTGTACTATGTACAGGGTCATTGACCAAATTTTACCAAAAATGACTAGGAGAGAATTTTTCATTTTTATTACATTTTCTGATGCATATACATGTTCTTATGTTGCATAGAAAGTTTGAGCTGATTCCGATCAAGTTTGGATTTTTTACGAATTTTTAAAGTTGCTCCGAAATCAGGCTAAAGTCCCTGTACTATAGTACAGGGTCATCAGCCAAATTTCACCAAAAATGACTAGGAGAGAATTCTCAATTTTTATTACATTTTCTGATACATATACATGTTCTTATGTTGCGTAGAAAGTTTGAGCCAATTCCGATCAAGTTTGGATTTTTTACGAATTTTTAAAGTTGCTTTAAAATTGGGTCAAAGTCCCTGTACTATTAGTAACGCGGTAGCGTTACTAAGTAGGATTCACCCCCAAACAAAATGGCTGCCACGACTTTTGCAGCCTTGCTATACCTGGTAGTACAGGGTTATCGGCCAAGTTTTGCCAAAAATGACTAGGAGAGGATTTTCCATTTTTATAATATTTTCTGATGCATATACATGTTCTTATGTTTCGTAGAAAGTTTGAGCTGATTCCGATCAAGTTTAGATTTTTTATGAATTTTTAAAGTTGCTCCAAAACTCCCTGTATGGTGTACTATTGGTACATGGTATTAACTCTACCTCTAAATGCAATTGGATTGACATGTACATGTACATTTCATCTCATACTTCCTGCACATGTACAATGTATATTGCATTATTTCTCCTTCTTCCTTAGGGTCTACCTAGGCTTCATGTCCTTGATGTCAGTTGGAACTCTTTGTCATTTCCTTATCAAGACATCCTCCTTTTAAAGAGGCACGCCCCATCACTCCTCTCACTCGACCTTCGTCACAACTTGTGGAAACAAAATGTAATATTTACTAGAAATGCCATCATGC